CAAATGGTGACCTTGGGCAAGTTAATTTCTCTAAACCGGATTTTTCTCAGGCCCTCTATCATAGGGTTGTTATCTTAAGTAAGTGAGATTACATATAAAATGTTAGTAGACGTCACCTGCCGTTGCTGCTCTTATTTATTTCTGGTCATAGTAAAAAGCATGTGGGATGGGTGTTGAATTTGCATCTGTAACTATTATGAAATATCTAGCTTGGCTGGCCCCAGATTGAAAGGAGCTCTGTTTCTCTGGGCTATAGGTCCAGATGAAAGTGTGGGCCACGTATGTCATAGCTGTACTTACCGCCGTCTGGATTCTTTCCTCAGTCTGCCAGTCCATGGGTTTTGAGGGAGAGTGTCTTACTCTTAGTTATTGATTTGCTTTAACTTTGTTTAAAATCTATAAAAACTGCTTCTTGGCCATCAGTTTAGACTAGCAATGAAAGAAGGCGGCAGCTTTAGTAAACAGTTTTAAATGCAACCCCATTTGGACAATGGCATGTAAGGAGATTGCAGATCAAGTAATGAGCCTAAAATTACCAACACGTGGGAGGCAACATCAGGCGAAGTCAAGGATTTAAATTCCAGGACACCTGAACTCTGCTTTGTTGTCCAGCAGGCTTTCTTTAGGGAAAATGTTTTTGTTTTTTTTTTGTTTTTTTTTTTTTTTTTTCCATCTGCACATTTCTTCATGGCCTGGAAGAGACGATGGAACATCTGTTGTTCATTCACGTTCTCACATCAGCAGACAACGAGCGATGCAAGTCCTCTCACAAAGCTGGGCCGGTCTCCCTGGGTAGGCTCTTCCCTTCGTCTCTGTGGCCTGAAATGGATTTTAGTGTCTGTTCATCTCCTTGACAGCCTTTGCCACAGAGGGTCTGGTGATCAGTAGAAATCCAGTAGTATGTTCTCTTTATCCATTTATATAGCTAAAAGTTAAAGTTTGGGGATAAGATAAATTGTTTTACATAAAGTGTTCATCAAACACTTGAGAAGGCCCATGGGCTCTCTGGAAACTGGGGCTTCGCTGTTTTCATCACTGTCTTCTCCAGGGTTACCCAGGGAGCTTAGAGGAGCTGTGGAGAGAGAATGGGTCTCCTGACTCTCAGTCCAAGATGCATGTGTCCTGGACTCCTTCCTGATATGCTGCTGGAGGGTTTGCATTTCTGTCTGAGAGCTGTCTACTGTGTATGTAGAGTTACAATACTTTTAACTTTTTTTTTAATAGGATTGTGAGAAAAGTTTTTGTAATCGGGTGATGAGAAAAGTTCAAGTAATAGCATCTACTTATTTATCAGGGTGTGACCATTTTATTTAAATGGACATGTCTGTGCTGTTATGACTGCCCAAATTAAAAAAGGAAAACTTACATAATTAGTTAGGAGGGTTACCCAGAACATCGCAGCCACCCATGAGGGTGACTAAAAACATACTTTAATACTGCTAATAAAGGCAGCTGTCTTTTTCTGTCAAATCATTTCAGTCCTTCTCCTTCACAGCACAGGCAAGAAGGGGGCGTGTCAGGCAGGGAGAAAGTGGGATTTAGTTTGCTCTGCAGGTGCACCTCCTTTATCTGGTTATTCTGGTTACCTAGGAAATATGAGTGGGATGAAGAGTGATGCTTTCAGGCTGAGTTTCAAGTAGTGAATCTTTGAGTATGACTCACACGCACACACATGATGAAGTTGTCATAGTCTTATAGTTTTCCTTTTGCAGGGTGTATGAGTGGCTCAGAGAACAGTCAGAAATAAAAATCATCCTACCCTCTCAGTGTGTCGTGTTGAAACAAGTAATTTCTTAGAAGGATCACATAAGCCCGTTTTTATTTATGCATTCATTTCCACACTGAAAAAAAAAAGTAGAACTTAATGGGGTGATAGATGCCCTAACCTTCAACCTGAGTTTGCTAAAAAAGATTGAGAAGAGCCACAATCTGAAATTGTCTCTAAGGCCATACTACAATTTAAATACACAGTTTCTAGAGGAGAGACACGAGTGGCCAAAAAACACGTGAAAAGATGCTCACTATCATGAGTCATTAGGGATACGCTAATGAAAACCACAGTGAGATGCCACTTCACACTCACTAGGATGGCTGTAATAAAAAAGATAATAACAAGGGTGTGAAGGCTGTTGGGAAATTGGAACATGCTTACATTGCTGTTGGGAATGTAAAATGGTTCTGTGGCAAACAATTGAGCAAAACACATGTCCACAAGAACTTGTCCACAAATGTCCAAAGCAGTATTATTCATAGTAGCCAAAAAGTGGAAACAACCCAAATGTCCATCAACAGATGAATGGATGGAAAAAAGTGCTATATCCATACAATGGAATATTAGTTAGCCGTAAACAGGATTGAAGTTCTGATACATACCACCACATAGATGGGTGTTGAAAACGTTGTACTAAGTGAAAGAAGCCAGACACTAATGGTCACAAATTGTGTGATTCCAAATTGTATAAAATGTCCAGAATGGCCAAATCTATAGAGACAGAAAGTAAATTAGTAATTGCCAGGAGTCGATGGGAGAGGAAAATGGGGAATGACTACTAAAGATATGAGATTTCTTTTGGGAGGTGATAAAAATGTTCTGGAATTACATAGTGGTGAATATATCACACTTTGTGAATATACTGAATTGTACAGTTTGAAAGGCTGAATATTATTGTTATGTGAACTATATTTAATAAAACTAGTGAGAAATAACCTTGCTGCAGCACTTTTTTGTGTGTGTGAGGAGGACAGGGTCTCACTTCATCACTCAGGCTGGAGTGCAGTGGTACAAACATGCTCACTGTAGCCTCAAGCCTCTGGGCTGAAGCAATCCTCCTGCCTCACCCTCCCAAGTAACTGAGACTGCAGGTGCATGCCAACATGCCTGGCTAATTTTTTTTTTTTTTTTTTTTTTTTTTTTTGTATTTTGTGTAGAGACAGGGCTTTGCCTTGTTGTCCAGGCTAATCTCAAACTCCGGTTTGGCCTCCCAAAGTGCTGTGTATATAGGTGTAAGCCACAGTGCTGGGAATGAACTAGATTTGTAAGTGTATCTTTTTACTTTATTCCATGTACCTACCTGATTTTTTTTTTTTTTTTTTTTTTTTTTTTAAGACACAGTCTGGCTCTGTAGCAGTTGTGTGATCTTGGCTCACTGCAACTTTTGCTGCCTGGGCTCAAGCCAGCCTCCCATTTCAGCCTCCCGAGTAGCTAGAAGTACGGGCATGTGCCCCCATGCCCAGCTAATTTTTGATTTTTTGTAGAGATGGGGTCTCACTTTGTTGCCCAGCTGGTCTTGAACTCTTGGTTTCAAGCAATCCTCCCACCTCAGCCTCCTGAGTAGCCGGGACTACAGGCATGCGCCCCCACACTCAGCTAATTTTATTTTTTTTGTGAAGATGGGGTCTCACTTTGTTACCTAGGGTGGTCTCAAACTCTTGGGCGAAGCCATCCACCTGCCTTAGCCTCCCAAAGTACTGGGAGATTATAGGTGTGAGCCACCGCACCTGGCCTCTGATTTTTTTTTTTTTAAATCTTGCTTTAATTGTATCCGAAACTCGAGCATTCTCTCCTGCAAAGTCTGTAGACCTGGAGCCCTAGGGCAAGCAAAATTTTCAAGATGAGACCCTAGTGCCTGGCTTTTAACCTAAAATGCCTAGTTCACAGGCCATGGCCAGCCTCCTGATGTCAGGCTTAGTCACTTCACATACTCATAAGGAAAAAAAGGTATCTAAGATTAGAGAAGTTACAAGAAATAATCAGCTTCTTCCAACCTCATTCACTTTTGATATTGCTGTGCTGTGATCTGTATTTTCTAGCCATTTATCATTAAAATCAGAGAACAAACAGATGTGAATGTGTGTATATTTGAGTGGGGGATGGGGCATGGAAGGGGATTTTGGTCTTTGAGGTACCATTGCTGGAGCTGGCAAATAAAAATAGAGGGTGCCCAGTTAAAGTTGAATTTCAGATAAACAACGTAATTTTGTTAGTGTCCATGCAATATTTGGGACATAACATTTACTAAAAAAGTATTCATTGTTTATCTGAAATTCAGGTTTTTGTTTCCAGTTAACACCCTGGCCTGGGTGTTAAGAGGCCTGAGTACTAGTGTTGGCTCTGCCACTAACTATTTATACATCTTGGGAAAAAAAATCACTTAACTACTCAGGCCTCAGTTTTCCTCATTTCTAAAATGAGGGGATTGTATTAGCTCATCTCTAAAGTTCCTCCCAGCTTTTAAACTCTGTGAATCTTTAATAGTATGACTGCTAGATATTATATCCCAATTTAATTTAGGACAGAAACTGGCAAATTGAGCATTGCCTCTTCAGCAAATCCAAGTAAATATCAAGGCAGGGCAGTTGAAATAAATGACAGAAATCAAACTCTGTGCTATTAGCTTTGGATTAAAAACAAATCAAAAGTTAATCCTAATGAAAAATGTAAATTGATACATTTAAAACCAGTTTTGTATTTTCAAGAATCGGGGAGAGATGGGTGAAGAAGCTGGAGTTGCCAACATCTAGTTTTTTCCTTTTATTTAAACTGGAGGCATAAAAAAAAAAAAAGTTCCAAATAACTGGGCCTATGCCACCAAACCACAGGCAGTTCTCTGGTGTGCACTGCAGTTTGGATGACTGACAAGACTCAGTGAAAAACAAGTGCTATTTGTTTTCCTGTGCCTAGTATTTAACTGGAAATCAGAAGGCTAGATTTCCAATCAGTTGCTAAATAGGCCCAGATGTGTGCTCAGCGCGGCGCTAGGAAGGGACATGCACAGCCTACACCATCGCGCATGTCCACCTGTTACCTTTTCATGAAGCCAAGTGATGTGTAACTGAGGGTTGTAGTGTCCAAAAATGCCCTAAGAATAACTCAGACTTCAAATTTTCTTGTGGAAGAGGGAACTTTTTTTTTTTTTTAAATTCTGTATTATATTGTGTTGCATTAAAAAATCTGGAAATAATTTTTTTCTTTTCTAATTTCCTCCTTTCCCTTCTTTGGCAGTTCCCCCACCCCCACGTTTATAAAAAACATGAAATTAGCATACCTGGTATGATGATTTATGTATCTACTTGTCATTTATCCAACATCCAGTTTTCTTGTTCATTTATCCAACACCCAGCCTGACTGGGAACTGTGCTAACTGTGGAGGATCCAGGGAAAACTGGGGTAAATTGCCTGTCCTCAGGGAGCTTCCCATTATGTGGGAGAGCTGGTTGAAAAATTGGGAATTGCAGTTTAGTGTGATAAGTGCTATTACACTAAATAATGGCGTAAATTGGAGAGAATAGTAGAAATTGGAGAAAATGAGAATTCTCTTCTTCCAAATGCAATCAAGGCAGCTTCCTGCATGTGGTTGGCTCTGGAGAACAATGTGGCAAATGGGTCAGGGTTGCAGACACAAACATAGCTCTTGGCTTGGCCAGAAGCATTGCTCCTGTATTCCAGGGTCCTGGATAGACCCGTTTGGGTTTTCCAGTGAGGTCTTTCCCCAGATAAATTATCTCTTGAAGGAAGATTAAATAACGAAATGTTTCAAGATTGGTGGTGGTGGTTCTTCTTTTTTTAAATGTCTCTTGTGGAATGACTCATTGTGTCCTGTGGGATATTCCACGTGGTTGTGTACCATGCACTTTTATTCCGGAGTCTGCTCCTCTGTTGGTTTTGTGGCTTGTCCTTAAGAGCCTTAATTATATGAGTCTTGATCCTCTCATGAACTAGGGTCAGTCAACTACCCTGTTTCCTAGGAATGCGTTTTTGGCCCCATTGTGGTCATTGAGCTCTTCCTGAATGTCACTGTGGCAATTAGAACATTGGAAAGAGCCCAGTTTCAACTGGTAAACCTGGTCCAGAAGGGGTTTTTGAAAGACTCCCTGGGATTTATTCTAACTTGCTGGGTGAAGGCTGGTGAATATGAGTGACTGAATGGCCCATGGCCCTGGGAGGTTTGCCTGGGTGTATTCTTCCCGAGGAAGACATCCTGTCTGGGAGGGTTCATGCAAGTGTAGACTTTTCCTGGCTCTGGTTGGACTTGGGTCATGTCTGTGTGCAGGCATGGGTCGCAGCCCTCTGAAGTCTTTGCTTTCATTCAACAAATTGAGGTCACATAAACTCGCTTTCACTGAGGAGGCAAGGTTGGTGTTTCTCTGTGTGGAGTCCCATGATGTCCTTTAAGGCGTTATTGTCTAAGACTAATCTGGTAATCAGATGCATCTGCCCTTCCCAAGTGTTGGGCAATTGATTGTATCAAATGTCACGTCTCTGGTGCCCTTTGTTGACGTGGTGGCCAGCCTCCAAAGAGCTGTTTGGTAGAAAAGTGACTGTTTTGTTAAGGGAGGTTGCAGAATATTTTATTTCCATGTAATAGGAGAGGGGGAAAAAAACCCAGCTGTCTACAGGAAGTGCTAGGAGGCTGACTTGAAGGCTGTGGCGGTGCCTTGGTCCTCTCAAATTATAGACAGTGATGCCTTTGGTAAGGGTTCTTCACAGGTGGCTCACACTCCCCATCTCAGAAAGCATCTGCAGGGTGGTCCAGCTCCTTCCTGGGCACAGGTTGTTGGGTTTATTTGAGGCAACTTGGTTTTTGCGCCTCAAGTCCACATTATCTAACTCTAGCGTGGAAGCTGCTTCTGATTTCTGCAGGGGAGAAAGGAATCCCTTTAGCCTTTCTAATTTCTGTGTCTAGGATAGAATTTGCATCTCAAGATCTGCTTTTGCCCTTTGTTCCTAATACTTTATCCTTAGATGGCCCAGGGTCTTTGTTGCAACTGTGGGTCCTTAATGCCACTGTGCTAGGGAGTGACCATTGGTTTGCCTCTGCCTTGTCCCACTGAGGTGGCGAATGACACAGTATATATCTGGAAGTCAGGGGCTCATCCATCTGTTGCCTCTGGCAAAAGTCTCACAGTTCATTTGCTCTCTGGCCTTTCCGTCTTTATCACGGAGAGCCTGTTATTAAGATTCTATTGGTTCTAGGTGATGCAGACTGCACGGTGATATTCAGAGCTGCTGTTTGGAGCCGGGGCTGCCCCAATCCATTAAAACAGGGTTTTTATATCCTGTTCTAGCAGTTTGGATAAGACGGCTGTGGTCTTGCCATTGTAAGGAATAACTTGTGGCCTGTCAACCTCAGCATCTGCCAGACAAATCTCATGGCCCGATGTGAGGATACATACACACATATGTCTATGTTTAACAAACACTTCTAATGTGTGCCATGTGTGAGGCACTCTTCTGAGTACTTACATGTATAACCTTATTTAGTCTTTATAGTAAGCCTGTGAAGTAGGTGTTATTGTTGTCTTTAAGATGAGGAAACTGAGACAAAGAGGTTAACATGTACCTGGTCCCATAGCTAGTAAGTGGGGGCTCTAACCATGGACACTGCCTAGTGAGTACTCAGTAAATGTTAGCAAGAATAATAATACTTTCCAGAATGGTCAGTGGGATCTCATTGGGAACAATCACACTGCTGACTCGAGGGCATGACTCTGATTTTATCTGTAACTCTGGCCTCCAGTTTGGAGCCACTCATGACTGTCCCAAGAACAAGGCTTCAGAACTGAACCCATAGAGCCAAATCAGGGCATCGGGTCAGTTGAGCAAAGTTCTTGTTTCAGCAAAGTGTGTTGTGAATGACTTATTTCAGTACTGGGATCTAGATCATGTTAGTATTTCACTTGGATAAGGATTTTAAAACTGTTTCTTGACCCCTTTCCCAAGAGCATCTTCCTTCTGGGGTCCCAGTTGGAGCATTTCTGGATCAGCTCCACCAGGATGCCATGCTTAATATCTGCATCTATCCTTAACCCTTTGGGAGCCGTTTGTTAGTTGATGCTAAATGTGTTCAGTTCAACCCTTCTTGGCTTTGACTAGGAGACCACCTTGATCATCTTCAAAGACTTTTCAATGTAGACTGGAAAATGGGTGTGGCCTGCTTAAGAGGGCTCTGCCTTTGCTTCAGGGCTAATATTAGGAAGCTCAAACAAGGCTCTTACACAGTTGTTTTGGGCTAGAGGCCTCACCTCCATTCCTGCCCTCCAGGGAAATGTCCTTTAGAACTTTTTTTCCCAAACTGTTGTAAGACCTGTGGTTGCTGGGCCAGAATATGCAGCTCTGTTTCGCCTGGGGCTTGTACCAGCCATTCCCAAGAGCTGTCAGTCAGCATTTTTCTAGAGAAACAGAACCAGTCAGGGATACATATGAAGAGATTTATTACAGAGAATTGGCTTAAGGCATTGTGGGGACAGGCAAGGCAATCAGAAGTCCATAGGGAGGCCTTCAGGAAGGGCAGCTCAGGCATGAGTAGAAGCTGCTGTCCACAGGTGGAATTTCTTCCTCAGGGAAGCCTTGCGTCTGCTGTTAATGGCTTTCAACGGATTGAATCAGGCCCACCCAGATTATCTGGTACAATCACCCTTCCTTATTGCCACCTGATTATGGACTTTAATTGCATCTACAAAATACCCTCCCAGTAACATGTAGATCAGTGTTTGATTGAATAACTGGGGAAGCTGGCCCAGACATGTTGACATATAAAATTGACTGTCACAGAAATTTTTTTTTTCCAGTTAAACTTTATTTTTTTTCTCCATCCCCTCGTCACCTATATCTGTCATTTCTCCCCATGTTATCCCTCCCTAACCTCCCTACCCACTGCTGTTCCTCCCCTATTTCCCCGCAACAGACCTGTGTGTGATGCTCCCCTCCCTGTGTCCATGTGTTCTCATTGTCCAGCACCCACCTGTGAGTGAGAATATATGGTGTTTGATTTTCTGTTCTTGTGTCAGTTTGCTGAGAATGACTGTCACAAAAATTTTTAAGATTCTTGGGCAATTTGTTGTTTAAGTTGACTTCTAGTCAAGTAATTATTTTGTTTCTGTAACAGTCATTCCTATTTCTGTCTGTCCCTTCCATTCAATTCTCTTCCAGTTTGACCAGCACAGTCCTTGAGATTGCTGGGGAAGTGGGGGACAGTGGGAAACAGCCCACCGGGAGAATCTCTGCAAGCAGCAGCTAAGGGTGGGAACCCTCTGCTTTGCCTTACTGCTTTTCCTTTTCACTCTCCTCAAAGCCTGGAGAGTGTTCTTTTGTATTTGCCTATCCAGTTTTGGTAGAAAGCCTGCCCTAAGACACCCAAGTCTTTGCTGACCTGAGAGCCAGTCAGTTCTCTCACCAAAGGGAGATGACCTTTCCTCAGTGTCTACCTTCCCACAGTGGAAAGAGCATCATTTTTGAAGTCCAGCAGATAGTTAGAATCTGCACTTATTCTTTGCTAAAGGTATGTAATCTGGCCCTTTATCTGATTGCTTAGAGCCCCAGTTTTTCCATCGTCAGATATGAGGATTCAGAATCCATGTGACAGGAGTGTGCAGCATGAGTTTTTATGATTAGTATCATATTTCCCAGTGTTTTGTTCACATGAGGCTGAAGGAGTGCATGTCTACGCCACACTAGTGATTTTGAGCTTGGTAGCTGACTGCTGTATGATGATGGACTAGAAAGAGCTCTAGAATGAGAAACCAGGTCTTTGGTTCTATTGTCGATCCTGTTATCTGCTGGCTGTGTGCCTTGGGTAGATCCTTTAGCTTCTGTGAGCCTCAATTTCCTTGTCTGTAAAATAGAATTGAGATTATTAGCCTTGATGAAGAAGAACTCTATAAAGAGAATTCTAGGAACATATTTGGAGCCAGGCATTTGTAAAATTCAGTCGTGCTCTTGAACTTGGCTTGGCAGATTGGATGTAACTTAAAAGAAAAAAAAGAGAGAGTCTTCAGGAGCACATTTGGAGGACAAAATTAGAGGAATGTAGCAAGTAATAGTAATGATACAAACATTTTATTTTTTTCCTGAAAAACATCATTTAGATAGATATGCACTTTGAATTTGGGGGTAAGCTCTTCCATCAGGCTAACATTTGCAGATGAGGAAGGGTAAAGCTAGGAGTCCGAAGATTTTTTTGTAAAGTTGGACAGGATTCCTGCATGGCCTGGGGCTCTACTTTGGAAAACTGTATTAGAAAGCAGCTTGTGCTTCATCAGTTTGGTAACTTGTGAGGACTTTGTTTTTCAGATGGAATGATATCTTTTGCTTCTCTTTGTATATATATATATATACACACTCACATGTACTGTCGGTTTGATAATGTTCCCATGGGAGATTAAAGTATTGCTTTTGTACTGGCCCATGTTCAACTTTGCCCATGTTTGTGTTTGGACGGCAGCATCTCAGAGCTTTCTTCTTGGACATGTGTAAACATACAGGGTGTTAAGAACACAGGACATTTTCAGTTCTTCAGTTTGTTTATATTTCAGCAAAAATTAAGAACAGGATGATCATCATAAATGTTTTGAGAAAAATTAATAGTCAAGTATGTTTTAAGTCATTTTATTGGAAGAAAGTAATCTGGTTTTGGGTACTACATAAAAGCACCCAAGAATTTTTAAATGATTACATGGATTTATGTTTCATGAATTCATGATTGGCAGATACCATCATCCCATGGCTCATGAATATGTAGCTTTGCAAATTAAGAATGTAGGTTCATAGGCATGGAAGTTATTATTTCTTTGAAACGAATCTTTTTAAAAAAGCATTGAGTCATGATATATGTTAATAGAAAACATGTTTCAGATTGCATTTCACATCACATGGCTTCAGAGGAAATAGGCGAGTGGGGTCCTCTCAGGAGTTGGGTAGGGAGAACGTGTGATTTTCTTCTTTCAGAACGCAGGGTTCCGTCTTCATTTTGAAGGTAAATATTTCAATACTGTTCCAGTAAATTTGCTTTTGCTGTACTTCATGTGCTCAAAATACATAAAAGCATAATCTTTATAATGCCTTTCTGTGTGGGTGCTGTGATGCGTTCTAGGGCCAACCTGTAGATCCCACTTAAACCTCAACTGAGATTCTGGAGGAATACCTATTCTCCTTTAACATGTGTCTTTTCCCGCTGGAATTGAACCAGCAAGTTCTTGGCATGGCAGATGTTTCTGAAATATCAGTATGTTTTTCTTTGCTTTATTTGTTTTCCTTGTTTTGTGCTTTCTATTTTCCTAAGCAGGCAACTCCAAAAAGAGATTTGTTTGTGCAGGAATCAGGAAAAGGGAAGAGGAATACTGAAAGTTGGGAGTAAAGCAGGACAGAAGAGGGGGAGGAGTGGATTTTCATTGTGTAAGTGTTGAACTTCCACCGATGCCAAAGTCATGGACATGTGTGCAGTTGGGTGTGTGAGTTAAAGCAGCCCCAAGGGCCTGTAACCTGAGTAGCAGGCACTCACCCAGCTGATAACTCAAGTTCCAGATGGGCCACAGCTGAGTTGTAGGGGTGTGTGTGTGTGTGTGTGTGTGTGTGTGTGTGTGCATGCGCGCGCGTGCGTTTGAGATTCCTGGAACAGATTTCCTCTGAGATCTCAATAGGCCTTTTCATTATCATTGGGGAGCTATGGTTTCTCTTATTTCACAAGGCCCATTTCTTCCTTTTGAGATGTGCAAGGAGATGACTCCATCCATGACTTGGCTTTACGCTCTCCCTCTTCGCTTTTTATCATCAGTGCAGAAGAGAGATTCTTGCTTGTTCTTCAAACAATCTCTTTCAAGCTTTATAAAGATTATTTGGAGTTTAAATAACATTCGTATCTATGGCCTAGAGCAATGTTCCTCACGGATGCATCGGAATCATGAGTGGTCGAGGGAGGATTATAATGTAGTTTCTTACATTCCCACCTCCCACCGCCCTGGAGTCTGCATTTTAACGTACTTCTGTCTGAGGATCACACTTTGTGAAGCATTGGGCTTGAGATGTTTTCTTGACATTGATTTATGTTGAGACCAGACCAGATGGATGGATGGATATGACCAGTTCATAAACATGTTCCTTTTTTAGGGTCATATTGGAGGAGGCTCTAGAGCAGTGCTGTCCAATAGAAATATAATGCAAACAACATATGTAATTTTAAGTCTTCTATTGGTGCATTTAAAAAGTAAAAGAAGGCCAGGTGTGGTGGCTCACACCTGTAATCCCAGCACTTTGGGAGGCCAAGGTGGGCACATCACTTGAGGTCAGGAGTTCGAGACCAGCCTGCCCCCCAACATGGCAAAACCCCATCTCTACTAAAAATACAAAAAATTAGCAGGGCATGGTGGCAGGTGCCTGTAATCCCAGCTACTCAAGAAGCTGAGGCAGGAGAATTGCTTGAACCCAGGAGGCGGAGGTTGCAGTGAGCCAGGGTCTTGCCTCGCCACTACACTCCAGCCTGGGCAACAAGAGCGAAACTCCATCTCAAAAAAAAAAAAAGTAAAAGGAGTAAATAAAATTAATATTAATGACACTTTATTTAACCCAATAGATCCAAAATATCACTTAAACATATAATCAATTAATAATAATGAAATTGTTCACTTTTTTCTTGTGCTAAGTGGTATGCATTTTACATTTATAACACGGGTCAATTGAACTAGCAACATTTTAGGTGCTCAATGGTGCCATGTGGCCAGTGGACACTATGTTGAATAACATAGCTGTAGAGAAATGATGCTTTTGCTAACTACCCAGCAGACACATAGTTGCTCATGGCACTCGCTCCCATTTCTCTGCTGCTCCAGAATATGACCTCAGAATCCTCCTCGGCACGGAACCTGAGGCAGGCATTGCCAGTTAATTGGACGTCAAGGTTCATTCTATTTATCAAACAAATACTTAACAAGTATCTTTTTTGTACCCAACACTTGGGATCTACCCATGGGCAATGCACACTAAGATCTCGGCCTCTGAAGGAACTTTATAGTGGAAGGAGATGGGCAATAAGCATATTATATGGCATTTCAGAAGGTGACAAGTACTATAGAAATAAAATGTAAAGTGGGTTTGGGAGAATCAGAATTCCTAGAGTGGGGATGGGTGGTGGGGTTGTACATCAAAATGGGCCCAATGAGAAGGTAACATTTGAATAGACTTGAAGGAGGTTGAGGTGAAACTTAAGATGAGACTTAATATCCATTTTTGATCTAGGGTGGCCAGGGTTTCCCTCAGGACTTCATCTGGGAGCATTCTTGTTGGGGTACGGGTCAAGGAGGCAGTGTGGCACTATCCACAGCAAAACTCCTCTCCTCACCACTGAAGACTAAACCAACGTGGGGGAGGCCCAGAGAGAGGCTGCAGTGCAACCTGCCAGGCGATGAGTCAGCTGATGTGCTAAGTGCTGAAGCCAAGAAGCTCAGTGCCAGGAAAATGGTGTCTGTGCCCATGAGCTGGGACTTGTGCACCTCACTCAGGCTTGGGAGATCAACCTTGATGTTTCTGTGGATCTGCTGAGGACTTTAAGAGTTAAAGCTGAAAGACAGGTGTGGAAACAAAGGGCTGGCTGCCTCTTTGGCTTTTTTCATGTACTTTTGGATGAGGCTGTTGAATCCGATCCAGAAAAAATAATAAACTTGGCTGTGGTTGCCTAGCCGTAAGTTCTTGTAATAAAACTCCCAGCAACTGGCAGATAGAGTAATGTTCTGCTCTTTAAAAAAGTCTGGTAGCATAACCTGAATTTAACATACAAATGTTGTGCATGGTTCAAGTAGGGAGGAGCATTCAGGAGGGTCCGGGGTGCATCTCAGCATCCTAGGATTTGTTAGACTGTAAAGTGCCTCACGGTTGCCCCTTCAACAGACCTTTACTCGGAATTGGGACCCTTGGATCCGAGTGCTCTGTTCATTCCCACAGGAAGACGTTTGTCATGTCAGGGAAGGTTAGAGGATTGGGTTTTAATTAGCAAGCAGGAGGAGAGTTCAGTGGGTTGTAGGGGAGGCATGGAATTACCAAATATGCTTTAATAATTGGTTTTTAGGTGGAGTTATTAGGTGAAAAATCAAATCATTAGCTTTAAAGCCTGGCCAAAAGCTCATTTCCTGGGCAGTAAGGGAAGCAAGGAGTTTGAGTAACGGGAATGAATAAATTATGGCGTATCCTTTCCTGTAGGTAACAACATTGAGCTTTCATTCAGCAAGCAATTATTGGGTGGTCCCTGCTTCATGTCCAGCACTACACCAGGCCCACAGCATTCAGAATGAACCGGGTTTTTCCGTGGCCCTCGAGGTGTTGCTCTTTATCAAGTGAGGGTGGCAGGTATGCTGACAAACAGTCGCAGTCCATGCGAGAGAGGGATGGACTAAAGGTCTGTACAAGTCATGGGTGGGCAGCTCACTGTGAGGAGCAGGGAGACTGGGAGGCTTCACAGAGCAGGTGATACTCCCGGGAGGACACAGAGCGGTTTGCCATGGGAGCAAGCAGGATAGAGGGGCTCATGCGGGGTGCAGGATGTAAAAAGACCCAGGAGTGTGTAGCAGCATGACATATTCTGCAACTGTGAGTAGTTCTTGGGTATGTGGGAGAGTGGCGTGAGATGAGGGTGGGCAGAGGCCCTCTTTAGTCATACGCCATGTTAAGATGCTTAGGTGCTATTCTGCTTTATCATGTGTTTACTTTTTAGAAGGATTGTCCAGGTGACAGCGTGGAGGAGGGGTAGAAGGAACAGGAATGGAGGCTGGGAGGGTAGGAAGTTGCTGTAACAGTTTGCTTGACATTACAAGGACGAGAAATGGGGCAGTGTTGCGGCAAGCATCCAGGGATAAGGTGGAAGATGAGGCGTGGAATAGTCTCCTCCTTCTCTTGCACGCAGCCTCTCTAACCCTCACAGTAATCTCTGAAGATGCTAGTAAGACGACTGGTGGCTGGAGCTCCTGGACAGCCTCTGGATGGGCGCTGGTTGCCAAGAAAACAACCATGTGATTAGAAGTTGGAGCTTCCAGCCCACCCCTCTGAAGGAGGGGAGAAGGGCTGGAGATTGACTTAATCATCAATGGCCAGCGGTTTTATCAGTCATACCTATGAAATGAAGGCTCTCTAGAAATCCCTGATCTGTGGGGGAGGGCTTGGAGAGCTGCTGGGTGGTGAGCGTGTGGAGGCGCCGGGGCATGGGGGAGTGGCACTCTCAGAGCGGCCACGGAAACTCCTCACCCCTTCCCCATGCGTTGCCCTCTGCATCTCTTCCATCTGGC